GGTTCACTGGGATTAGCGAATTATTAGTCGATGAAGTCCACGAAATTCCACTCATATTAAAGTCACCTACAATAAGAAGCACATCGGAAGAATGATTTAAGGTAGTTTGGTTTAATTTAGTAAAAAAATTGTTAAGTTGATTCGAGAACGAAAAACCGTTGTTTTGTTTACATAAATAAATAGCACAAACGTACAGGTTTACGAAATCTCGTGTGTTTGACTTTTTAAATCGTATGCTAATCCAAAGGTCTTCTGCTGAAGACTGGAGGAACGGTTCCTGGGTAACGGGTAATTCCCTACGCGTCGCGACCAACACACCACCACCACGCGATTGTCCGGTCACAGCACAATCCCGGTCACGGCGCCACACTATATACCGGTCATCAAACAACTCTGAGTTCAACACACCATCGACTAGCCACGTCTCCGCCAGAACAATAACATCGTAAGAATTTAATAAAACCTGACGATAGAACGAGTCCGTTTTCGTTCGCAATCCCCGTACGTTCTGGTAGTAAACAGTCAGTCGCTGTTCATTGTTATCACCCATAGCTAAAATGTGCAATAATAACGGCATAAGTTTCATTATAACAAAAAACGACTGGCCAATGCATTACAAAATAAAAATATCTATAAATTACGGAAGACAGAAATAAATATGTGAAAAGTGGGTAAATGTAAATTAAAGTAGCAAAAGTTTGCAAATCATCCGATATTACGTATGACATTACTAAGTGAGCAAGTAAGCAGCAATACATCAGGAGCGTAAGTGCAAGCGAGTCAGATATATAGCTATGAATCAGATCCCCAACACAAACAGCGCGACGCCGAGAACAAAAGAAACTCATCAGCGAAGCAGAGGTGCAAAACCTTTTACAATAAACAATTATTAGACATTGATCGATTTTAAAAGTATAACATAAATTAAAAAAATGACATGTACTTATGTAGCGGTTTATACAATTTTGTTTAAATCCTGTTCTTTCCGAACTATAAAGGTTTTACAATTAACGTTTTTGCGTACATGAATTTTGCCATATTTAACCCACACAAATTCATAACGTTTCTCTTTAGCGATGTCTTTGGTTTTACTTAAAAGTTTTTTAGATTCGACGCTTAAGTGGTCATTCACATAAACACGCTGTGGTGCTCCTTGGAAACCTAAATCCGATGTAGATAGGTCCTTATCTGCCCGCGCAGCCGCAACAAAGTCCTCCTTTACATACCTATTCAGAAAGCTCACTATTACTAATTTCTCCTTAGAGTTATGTATAGGCACCCTAGAGATGTAATTAATCTGGGCCTTAGGACAATTATGCTTGATTTTACGGCCGATGGCTTCGATGATTGAGAATAAATTCTCATCCTTTTTGAGGGGCACTCCTTTGATCTCCACGTTATTTAACCGGGACCGCTGATCTTGAGACGTAAACTCGTGCTTTGCTGAGGCTAACTCAGATTGCAGTGAGAGGACTGTGTCCTGGAGCTTATCAAACTCTGACACCTTCGATTCCAGATTGAAAAGTCGAGTGTCGAACTCATCGAGCCTACCACTAGAAAAATCGTGGCATTTTTTGAGATCACTCAGCTCATCTTTAATTGATCTTAAGTCATTAACTAAAGTCGGTAGGTCCAGTAGCTGACGCTTCATTTCTCGAATCTCACTCAGCACTGTGTCCAGTGAAGCCGTAGGTTGCGGTGAAAGTAAAGTCGGCGACGACAATCGGCACGCAGGACATTTCCATTGGGCTCTTCTGTCAGCACCCAATTTCCTCCAACCAACATCGGTCATGCTGGCACAAGAGAAGTCCAGGTACTTTTTGCAGCTCGTACATTGAACTCCATCATTGAATCGCTCATTGCAACTTGCGCACGTTTTCATTGCGAATGAAGTAAATAAAAAATGCTTAACTTTCCAAAACCGAAAAAAGGTTGACAATCTATTATTTAGCGCGTAAAGCGTACTGCGTTAATGCGTGCTCACACGATACTGATTATTCTCATTTATACCTGTTTGCCGCGAAAGCTGAATGGATGCGTACGCGTCTCCATACAAAATCGTTGTTTTCTATGGACATAAGCAGAATAGAGCTGAATAAGTGTGAGTAGTCCCTTAACCGCTTAGTAGGATCTACTTTATCACACGCTACTACGCCGTAGTAACATCAGCTACGCCGTAGTATCAATTGCTACGCCGTAGTATCATGTGCTACGAATTTAGATTGCGTGTCTATTGTGAGGTGTAACGAATGTTGAATTTGTATTCCTTAACTATATCAGACATCCGCGATTTAAAGATAAAATCTGTATTCTTATGTATATAGTACTTTCTTTTCTTTCTTTCTTACTAGCTTATACCCGCGGCTTCGCTCGCGTCACAAAAGGATAAAAAGTAGCCTATATGACATATACCCATACACACAGCGCCATCTATACCAATAATTTCGTTTTCCCTCGAGAATATCAAATTTTTCCGGGATAAAAAGTACCCTATTATTTAATCCAGACTTCTAACTTTACGTCTGCAAAAAATTCAAAGCAATCGGTTTAGTATTTACGGCGTGAAAGTGGAACAAACAAACTCACTTTCCGATTTATAATATTAGTACGGATTTCGCCCTCGTATAAAACTCATCGTTTGCGACATTTCGAAGAACGAATTTTATTACTTTTACCGAAGGCCTATTGTCATCGGTGGTTGTCGAAAGTAAGCTGTTTACAAAGATAACCAAAGGATGTTGAGTGAGACAATGCTATGTCGTAATATTCAATAGAAAAGTAATAAATACATAAGTGATTTAGAAATACATAAGTGATTTATGTGTGTCAGTATAATATACAGTACAGGTACAAGTTTAAGAGTATAAGAATAGAATAAGAATAAGAATAATTTATTTGTATATACTCCACTTACAATGTTTTTTTTTTTTTTTTTTAATTGCTATATTAAAGTAAAATTATGCTAGACTATTAACTAGATAATAATAATACATTATTTTGCTTAAAACTATGGACAGAAAAATAATAGGACTAATACTAATATTTGTCGCGATTTGCTTG